TATAATATACTTGACAGACACTATACATTATATAATACACCAGACAGGATAAACATTATATAATATACTAGACAGGATAAACATTATATAATATACTAGACAGGGGAAACATCAATCAAGTAACAATGTTTAAATCCCTAATAATGTTTAGAGAAACTGATTTTTTTTTACCTTTTAACATTTATTTTACAACGCAACTAAAGGGACCGTAGACTTTATTTCAAGTGACTCTCCTTGTATAGGGTAGCATGTCTAATGTATAAAGCTACCTTTTAAACCTTTATTACATTAATATTGAGGAAGATATTGTAGTTTTTCTATCTTGAAAAAATGAAAAGTGTCCAATTCTGACAATTTCCTGCTTTAGGTCTTCTACCTAAATCCACTAGTCACCAATATTTTCATTCGAAAAAATATTTTCTATTTTATTTATTTTATAACAATTTCTAAGTTAATTTTTTGATAAAAGTTATCAGATTAAAGTTTAAGTAATTTACATTCAATATGAATTTTACCAGGCTTTACGAGTCTCTGGGAAAACATTGTTAACAGAAACATGGCACTTTTTGGTTTTTGTTGTAGACTTATTGGTTTTAAGCTTGTGCCATAGGTTTCAAGCTTGTGCCATAGGTTTCAAGCTTGTGCCATAGGTTTCAAGCTTGTGCCATAGGTTTCGAGCTTGTTCCATAGGTTTCAAACTTGTGTCATGGGTTTCAAGCTTGTTCCATGGGTTTCAAGCTTGTGCCATGGGTTTCAAGCTTGTTCCATAGGTTTCAAGCTTGTGCCATAGGTTTCAAACTTGTGTCATGGGTTTCAAGCTTGTTCCATGGATTTCAAGCTTGTGCCATAGGTTTCAAGCTTGGTCCATAGGTTTCAAGCTTGTGCCATGGGTTTCAAGCTTGTTCCATAGGTTTCAAAGTTGTGTCATGGGTTTCAAGCTTGTTCCATGGGTTTCAAGCTTGTTCCATAGGTTTCGAGCTTGTGCCATAGGTTTCAAGCTTGATCCATTGGTTTCAAGCTTGATCCATTGGTTTCAAGCTTGTTCCATTGGTTTCAAGCTTGATCCATTGGTTTTAAGCTTGTTCCATAGGTTTGAGGTCTGAAGCGACCTGAAATTTTGCTCCTGTAGATGAACGCACTCTTTCTAGATCTACATCTTCGCACAGCTCAACTAATGTTAGACCTTGAGCAAGGGAAATATACATATTTTAACATTCTTCTTCCAAGAAAATCAATAAATTCCGGAGATTTGTCCCCTCAATACTGGGACAGAATTGCCAAAAAGTGTGTAAAATATGGAGGAGGGTTAATATGGTCATGAAATATATTGAAATGGAGGTTTTTGAGAATAAGAAATTAATATTTTGAGTCAAAAGTAAAAAATTAGAATTTCAGGGGAAAAACTGTAACAAAATTGAAAAAGAAGAAAATTTATTTTTGAAATTGTTCTTACAAACAGGAATCTGTTTAAACTAGTTTATTGCTACAGCTCTTCTCAATAAAAATGCCAGCTATTTGAAGAAACACCTTTTAAGGTAAAATTCTAATTTTTTTTGTGATTTTTTTTGGTATTTTGGAGTTTCTGCAAGAAATTTGTAGCGGATAAAACATTATTGACGACTTCAAAATCATATTTTCTCGATAATAAAAGTGAACACTTTTAAATTGATGGATATAAGTTTAAATCGTTGATAATTGAATTCATCAAGATATAATCAAGAAATGATCCTAAGTGTTGTTAAGCATCAATATTAAACAGCCAAGGAGGAAAAAAGCGTCTGAGCTCTGAGGTCATAGATTTAAGCTTCAAAAGTTTCGCCCTAAGGTCAGACCAAATAAGAATTTTTCTAACTTACAAACATACCATGGAGCTGGTCACAACAGAACAAAATTAAACATAATACAAAATAGCCTTTTCCTTTCAGATTTTTAAGTGGGTTATTCAGAAAAATTTCAACATTTTTTAGAAATAAGACAACTATTGCATTTCTTGTTCTATGTGTGCATTTTTCAAGCTCTTTTTTTTAATTAAATGTTTTGAATAAACTAAGAAAAAAGTTAAAGAATTATGTAAACACGTGTATATGTTCCTGCCTTGAGAATCAAGTTTGAAAACTGCTAACTCTGTTATGATCAAGTCCACACAGTGTTCTCCAGTCAAAGGTAGAGTACACATCTCCAGTATCTTCGGAGACCCATCCTTCTCATTGTGAAGCATTGTAACAATAACTCTAGTTGCTGGAGCAGAAACTAGATCCATCGCTCCTCCCATTCCCCTCACTTTTCTTCCTGCAATGATGATATTGATAAACAGGTAGGGTACAGGGTTACCCACAAAGGATGAGACTTCAGAGACGACGGTACTGAATTTATACTGTCTGTTTCCTTAAATATTCATGATTCCTTGCAACCATAAAATTCGTTCTTCCTTTGCCACATCAATAAATAAGCTATTTAAAGACCATATTCAAGATTGAAGACTGATATTTGAAGAGTTTCAAGTCGTCTCTATAGTCTCATCCTTTGTAGATAACCTTGTTCTAGTGTAAAACAAAAATATGCATGTTCTGAGCTGGAATCAACCAATTTACCTGGAACTAACCAGTTTCCCTGGAATCAACCAATTTACCTGAAACTAACCAGTTTCCCTGGAATCAACCAATTTACCTGGAACTAACCAGTTTCCCTGGAATCAACCAATTTACCTGGAACTAAGCAGTTTCCCTGGAATCAACCAATTTTTCTTGAACCAACCAGTTTCCCTGGAACCAACCAGTTTCCCTGGAACCAACCAGTTTCCCTGGAACCAACCAGTTTCCCTAGAACCAACAAATTTCCCTGGAACCAACCAGTTTACCTGGAACCAACCAGTTTACCTAGAACCAACTAGTTTACCTGGAACCAAGCATTTTACCTGGAACCAACCAGTTTACCTGGAACCAACTAGTTTACATGGAACCAACAAGTTTACCTGAAACCAACCAGTTTACCTGGAACCAATCAGTTTACCTGGAACCAATCAGTTTACCTGGAACCAACCATTTTACCTGGAACCATCCAGTTCGCCAGATCACCATTTTCTGACACCTGTATAAAATTGGAGTAATTATAAAGTATTGAAACATCTAATTTTTTTTCTTGCAAAATTTGAAAATTTAGTTGATTAGCAAATGTGAATTCAGTGAGATCCTTAAAACTGTGGAATAGAAAGAATACATTTATGTAATATCATGTGTATTTGATGTTATTACAAAGCAAATAGCATTACCAATACATCGCAAATCAATTAAGTATATGAAATGTGTCTTGGTATCCAAAGTATACAACAGAAATGTGTACCAAAAATTGAATCAAATGCAGCTTACAAGTTGTCATTATCTGTCATACTTTTCACCATACTATTAAAAAAAACTGTTTAAAGAGGTGGAGCATTGTTTACTTTAGACCTGCATTCCTCCAAGTACAGTTAGATCTATATGCCCTCCGCGTATCATTGCAAAGCTCTCATCACTAGAGAAGAAACTTGAACCTGGAGTCAGGACGTGTTGAAAGTTTCAGGTATTCTAGTATTTTTTAAACACTTTGAATTGTGTTATGTTTCCTACATTATTTTTTGATCATTTTGTAACTTTATCATGGTTAAACTCCTTCAAATGAGTTAAATTCTTGCAACAAAACTCTAATTTTTAAATTCTTGGTAAACCAATGTTGGAGACCTTTGATATTTCCAACTATGAATTTTGTTAGATCAAACAGTAAAGCTTGCAATATGAAAGGTTTACACCATTGGGGGTAGAAATTTGCGTATAGGGGACTCACACAAGTGATAAATGCATTTCAATAAAACCATCGCAACTTTATAAAATAGAAACTTTATATATCCTGCCTGGAATACATGAAATTGCTTTTTTTCCTGCATTTATCAGATCCGCGTCCACGTCAGCTGCAGCTGGTTCAGGTCCCATTCCAAGAAGTCCGTTCTCAGATTGTAGGAATACAGAGATATTCTTAGGAATAAAATCAACAGCTAGAGTTGGAATTCCTATCCCTAAGTTTGCGTACATGCCGTTCTTGAACTCGCATGCAGTCCGACGAGCAATGATCTCCTTGGAATGTTCCGTGGCAGTTTTTGCATCAGTGTTTGTTTTATTTGAAGCATTTTCAGTACTGGTTGAGAACTCTATATTTTTTATTAGTTTCTCTCCTTGTACAACCCGTTGTACATAGATAGCCGGTACATGAACCCGATCTGGAGGTATCTCACCAATCTCAACTAATTCCTCAACTTCAGCTATCGTGATTTTGGCAGCTTTGCACATCGGAGGATTGAAATTCCTTGCTGTTTTACTAAACACAAGATTTCCAGCTTTATCCGCCATTTTAGCTTTAACCAGTGCAAAGTCACCAATAATGGCCTCCTCTAGTAAAAATGTCCTCTTATTAAATTCTCGATGCTCCTTTTCCTGTGATTGTGTACACACTGTACCGTTTGTGTTGTACTTGATGGGAGATCCACCTTTATGTACCATAGTTCCTACCCCTGTGCTTGTATAGAAGGCGGGGATCCCCGCCCCTCCCGCCCTTATTCTCTCCGCTAGCGTGCCTTGGGGAGTGAATTCTACTTCAATCTCACCCTGGGCAAACAGAAAATGTATTATGTTATGTAAAAAAAAACTAGAATACAAAATAAAAGAATACAATTAAAGATAACATGTCAGAATTTTCTATTCCACCAGGAATAGCGTGGCTAGCTTACGGGATGGGCCATTGAAAACATTGAAAACATTGAAAACATTCAAAACATTCAAAACATTCAAAACATTTAAAACATTCAAAACATTCAAAACATTCAAAACATTCAAAACATTCAAAACATTCAAACAAAACATTCAAAACATTCAAAACATTTAAAACATTCAAAAAATTTAAAACATTAAAAACATTCAAAACATTCAAAACATTTAAAACATTCATAACATTCAAAACATTCAAAACATTTAAAACATTCAAAACATTTAAAACATTCAAAACATTCAAAACAAGTTTATTTGTAATTTAATTCTGGTCAATATTTCCTTGGCCACTTTACTTTTCAGAAATTAAAAGGAAAATATCAAAAAAGAATTTAGATTTTGTTGAAAAAATAACTAATTTTTAGTTGTCAATTTATCCTTTTTTTCTACGAAAAATCAAATATTCACTTTTATTTGTAAAATTTTGAAATATAAAGAAAAATATTTAAATAATTGAGATAGTTACTTCACGAAACTTATGAATAATTGAACATTTTTACTCCGCCCCCCCCCTCAAACTTAGCTTTTTCCCAATATACAGGAAACGAAGATGTAAAAAAACCCAATGAAAAGAATAGTTTTACAAAAAAAACTCAAAAATATTTTTTGTAGTGTTTATGTTATAGGTACAAAAATACTTAAAGATTGAACCAACTGCAAATATATATTTTGCTACATTAAAAAAATATATGTTGCATTAGAAATATTTTTTTTTATAAAGTTATTAAAATGCTGTCATCAAAAATAATTCATTTCCTTCCTGTAAATATTGTCTCTCGAACTCCTTGTTGTTTCCGATGAACGAGGCGAGGATCCTCTTGATCTGCCTGGTCTTCACCAGCTGACCTAATCCATGTTCATCAGTTCCTGCAGAGTCACTCACCACAGTAAGGTTACTCACTCCTGTCCTGACCAGCCCAGCTAGGAGGTTGTCGGGAACTCCACATAATCCAAATCCTTAATTTAGAATTTTAACTGTTATTTCACTGAAAAGCATTAAAAGATATCAAGTCTCGACGGGGGAGGGGGCTATATTGGCTCAGACCCCCCCCCCCATTCTTAGGATCGTGAAATCTATGGATTACAGGGGGTTTTCAAGCCCCAACTAAAGATACCTGAAATCGGAACTTTTGTGAATCTCGGGACTAAAAATTGATCTCCATCTTATGCAGATCTATATGATTAATTTAATTCCTCTTACATAACCCATGGTGGTAATACCTTAGCTGTAGGTATTATTTCAATTGAAGGATCGATGCTTGATCCTGAAATTCTAAAGTTTCCACATCCTATGGATATCGAGATCAAGCATTTAAGATTAAATATTCAAATTCTTAAACCCAATGAGAGTTCTTTATTATTTTACTTGCCTCCGACCAATAGTTTGGATCCGCTAGGAATATCCTTGATGGCCTCCACTGAGCTCTTATAGAATACAGGAGCATGGACTGAGACTCCAGTGGAGAACAATGATTTGTCTGGGAAACCATGAGTCGATGAACGAAATGTAAGTGCGCGAAGTAATAAATGATTAAAATGTAATTTCATCCTGATTAGCTGGAATATCATTTGACACTGGCGGGTTATCTCTCGGCGGGAGGATAGCTATGGTCGAAATATTTGTTTTGTATTTTCTCTATGATTTTACTGAAATGTTGCAGTAGACCCCTGTTATGCTCAGGCTAGTTAGTGTTTAAAAACAAACTCTGTTTACAATGTGCATATGGATACCAATGTTTTTCAGTACAGTCAAAGTCTTAGTAGGACTTAAAGCTAAGTACATGTCTAAGAATCAAAGACTTGAATTTCTTATACTTTAAAACTGTTCGCACTGCACCTGAGTGTACACTGATTAGGTATATAAACTTTTTCAAATTATCTCCATATTTAAATTTCTTTTCCCTAACTAAAATCATTACCGAAAAACGGCAAAACAAAAAAATAAGATTTTGACACAAGTGAAACAAATGAATAGCAAAAAAGTAAGGTTAGAGAATCCGAGGAAAAGGGTAAGGAAGGAGAGAGAATGAAAAGGAAAGAGAAATGAGTAAAATAAAAAATTTAAAAGAGGGGAAACAAGTTAGATAAGCAATAAAATAAGAAAGAACTTTGAAATTCAGGATCAAAGAAGAGAAAGAAAAGAAAGAGAGGGGGAAAGGATAAAAGATATTGCAGGAAACAAAAAGATAAAATCTTACTCATAATTTTATAGACAAATAATCTTTATTTGATTTAATCGTTAAATTACCTATTGACGCCTACATAAAGGGTTTGATAAAGTTAATCTACTCTACCCGCCTTCCCCCCTTCCCCCCTTCCCCCATTCCCTGAATAGAGCTGTTTTTCAGAGAATAAAAAACATTTGGTTTTACAAATTTGGTGCCAAATCAAATCAATCCTCTTGACATTAATATATTAAGATGTAAAAGATTAAAATCAGGAGCAAAAATAAGATGGCAGGAAATAAGAATTCAGGAAAAAATATGACTGGAATCAAATTAGCGGGAACGGAACCAATATGGCGGGAAACAAATTGTATGGAAACAAGATGGCGGGAAACAAACTGTATGGAAACAAGATGGCGGGAAACAAACTGTATGGAAACAAGATGGCGAAAAACAACGTTGTGGAGTACAAGATGAACCGGTGAATGAACTCTTATAACAGGTAAACTTTTTCTTTTATACTGTTATATATCCACTGTTTTATGTTAACATTAAAGCAAATTGCAATTCATGTATTAGAAAATGTATGCCAGGTTAAGATTTATAGAATAATGTTATGGAGAAAAAACTTAAATATATTTAGTTTTAAAGTTTCATCCCTCTGCAAGGTTCAAAGCCAATTCTTACTTCGACGAAAGTTTTCTTTACACAAAACTCTGTAATCTAAACTTTTCTCTAACTTTTGGTGTTGTTTAACCAACGTCATTTTCATCTTTTTCTTTGATACTGTAGATGTAAAGTGCATACTGCCTATAAAGTGTAGGTAACTGCTCAGTAATACAATGTACATTGTACCAACTATAATTTGTATATAGCAGCCAAAACAATCTTTGTTTAGAGTACATAGAATTTAAAAAAATAAAAAATATTATAAAATATCAACTATATACAAATACATTGAATTGAATTCGAAATTTATAGGTTGTAATATCTGAATTTAATTAATTTTGATTTTAACTGATTTTTTTACGATCTGAGTGAAATAATGCAACTCCGTGGATTTGAATGGGTCTTAGGTATAAGTCGTTTAATTCACGGGCAGCCGTAGTACATTTGAAATTCTGAGCCAGCTCAACCTTTCCGGTCCCAGTTTGTACTGTACCTAGCTCTATGGACAAGGACTAGCCGGTGCAACAAGGTTGACGCGGTCAGACTTTATGCTTCATATAGGTTGAATTTACTTTTACTAAAGGGCCAGAGGTGCGTGAATTTTTCGCGAACACTCCCTTTATAAAAAGATAAAGTTGTTAAAAGTACAGATTATGAAGAGGGAGGAAGGAAGGGGAAGGAGGGGAGGTAGTGGAAGAGTACCATGGATGCAGTTTTATGAATAATATTTGACATTTACATTTATATCTAGATATGAAGGTCCAGTTTTGATATAGAAGAGAAGAGAAAAGTTAGATATTATAATAGTTTGCAGTTCTTTATATGAACAATTTTAACTGTTCCATGTAATCTTTTTTATCTTTTCTCTCAGGAACAATGAAATTATGTCCTCATATATCTCAGAAGATCTTGTCCAAAATCACTTTTATCTTTTACAATTTTTTCACAGTTTTAAAAGGACAGAACGGCTACGTAAGGTAGTTAAACTGAGTATATGCAGTGTTTTGGACACATTCTTAAGGATTCATTTGAGACACAAAACGTTTCACGATGAATAATTACTGAGTTTGAGTGCATAGTCGACGTTTAAAATCGTGAATTTGGGTGGGTACGTTTTCAGAATCGTTTTTTTTTAATTATTAAATAACGACGACGAAAAATAAAGTAAAAAATTATGCAGTAATCTAATTAGATGGTTAGGAACATATTTCTCAAAAGATTTGTCAATAAATCAATGCTAAAATCAATTATTTCGTTTTCATCATTATATTTAATTTCTTATTTTCTATGAATTTATTTGCAGGCTTCTACAAATTCTTCAAATGTCGTCTTTTCAATATAAAATATAGAAAATCATTGAATAAGATTACTTATTTTCGATGATAAGATAAATTTTTATTTTCTCAACCTGTTCCTAAACAACTAATTAGTTTACTGTGAAATTTTGTTTACATTTTTTTGTCGTCGTTATTCAATTATTTAAAAAAAACAATTCTGAAAACGTATCCACCCAAAAGTACGATTTTGAACATCGACTTTGCGCTCAAACTCAGGATTTACAGATCCTTAAAAAGTTTTATATGTCTCAAATGAATCCTAAAGAATTTGTTCACAGCACTGCATACTCAGTTCAACTACCTTACATTGCCGGTCTGTCCCTTTAATATAAATGGTTCTTTGCTTTTTATTTGATATTTTTCTAAATACCATTTAAATTAACTCTGTCCCTTTCTCTTCATAAACAAATACAAATTTATCAAGGAAAAGGTGATGTGGAGTTAGTTGAAAATATTTTTATCTATACAATACCGTTTAGTCAAGATTCCAAAATAATGAATAATAGTAAATTAAATGTTTCGCGGTTTTACCACATTATTATAGTTGTATGGATTGGATAGCTATGGTCGAAATATTTGTTTTGTATTTTCTCTATGATTTTACTGAAATGTTGCAGTACACCCCTGTTATGCTCAGGCTAGTGAGTGTTTAAAAACAAACTCTGTTTACAATGTGCATATGGATACCAATGTTTTTCCGTACAGTCAAAGTCTTAGTAGGACTTAAAGCTACCCTGAGCGTATTAGGTAAAACTATTAATTAATTGAGTATATAAATACTGATTCTATTAGTTATTAATTCTATTTTCAATAGTTGTATTTCTACTCTTATTTATTAGTTATTTTTGTGTTAATAATATGTATTTTTCAGCATATAAACATACTGAAGAAATAAACGTTATTGCTTCAACCCGTTCTATATCTGCGCGTTGGTTGGCTTTGAGTTCAAGACCTGATTAAAGAATTTAGCGATAGTTCGCGAAACATTAAATTAAAGACAATATGGGTTATTTGTTACGCAAGCGCCGCTATATTCTCCAGAGAAGCAGGATTGAGTGATAGAAACAGATCGAAGTTGCGGAGATTTCACAGGTTTGAATATTTTACTCGTTGATTCATGGAAGTTAGATATTTATTAACAAAGTTGAATATCTGAAAAATCAAGTTGAATATCTGTGTTTGAAAATGTTTGAAAAGTGTATGTAATGTGTCTGCAGTGGTTGTTATATGTATCTATAGCTAGCTGCATAGAAGGGTGTCTAAAGATAAGATAAATAAGAAAAAATTAAATTTAAAAAAATGTCTTTCAGAGACATGAAAAATTTGAAATGAATCGAGTTTTTGCCACAAACTTAAGCTTTCCACCCCCTATATCTTCGCAACCTAATGGTGCAACCCTATAATATTTCAAACTTGGACTTTTTGATCCAACATAACTCATAGTTTGAAATATCAAAGGTCTATGACATGGGCTTGCAAAAAAATAAGGATTTGAAAATTTGAGCTTTTTAGAAATATCTTTTCGACACATGTAAAATTTTAAATTTGATATGAAATTTAAAATTAAATTTTGACTCTAGAATGAGAAATTCGGATGCAGAATTTTTTAGTTTTTTTTGAGACACCCTGGCACAGTTCTGAATTCTACCCACTCCTATACTCCTAGACACCCTGGCACAGTTCTGAATTCTACCCACTCCTATAACCCTTTTCAATTTTCAACAATTTTCAAGTGAATACAATTCTAATTTTGACTAAACTTGAGAACTCGGGCAGATTTAAAAATACGCAGAAAACATTATATATATATTTCTTCAACAATATTAACAAAATATCATTTAACGGGACTGTAAGCGTAATTTAAAGTGACCCTTCATGCAAAAATGGCAATGGCTGATTTACAACGGTAGCTATTGGATGGAATTATATGGACCCCTGCAGTACCCTTGAAAGCTTTATCTGATCAAGTTTAGATTAGATATCAACGTTTTTTGTTTTTTTAAATTGTTTGTTCATTTTCTAAGAAAAATAAACTCTTTTTAGTCAGAAAAACGACCTTCTACATTTTTATCAGATTCAGGTTTCAAGGGTACCGTTGTAAATCGGGCATTGCCATCTTTGAGTGGAGGGCCACTTGAAATAACGCTTACAGTCCCTTTAAACAAGAATTATACAATGAGAACCAGAAAAGTGATGAGTGTCGTTTTTGTTCTTTCTTTTACTTGTCGCAATGGATTGTGTAATTTACAATTACAATTTACAATTGTTGCAACGTGCAGATTTCTAAAAATATTTCGAGCGAAGTTTAGTTTCAAATTACAAAATGTTTTGCGGCATTTAATAATTTAAAAAAAAGACGGCGCGGAGAATTCAACTGTTTTCTGGTTCTAACTGTATGTAGACAA